TTTAAAAACATCTTTAGTTTGTAAGTGTAATAAACCAGCAATATTTAGTTAGGCAGAAAGTGCTAAACTTTAAAGCTCACATTTACTCTATTAAATGAAATAGAGCGAGCCTTAGAGGCTTACATGAGAAGTAATGCTGCTATGAAGCTCTGTAACCTCCTCCCAGACCTCTGTAAAGTCCTAAGAAGATGGTGCCCTAAGGAGAAAGGGTTTAAAACATGCAGAGCTGCAGGAATGTGCTGTTGATAGTTGCAAGATGCAGGATACAACTTCCATCGGGTAATGCCTCTTCTCTAACGTGCTGCTAATTATGTAGCTGACCTTTTTGAAAGTATCCCCCACCCTGAGGTGGAGCTGGCAATGCTGCCCTCAGACCGTTGTTCACATTTAATTTATTTTAACCATTTGTGATGCTCTTTGTCCTGCCACGCTTGTACAGTGTCCCTCGTGCATGACATGGAGCTCCTTTCCTCGCCCAGGTACATGGTAAACACACCCCCTTTGTTCTTCTGAGCTATTGTGAAAAAACAGGCTATTTCTGACCATATTCCCTGTGAGTAGCCCTTAGTGTGCATGGATGCTCTGCTCTGGGCAGCGGGAATGCTGCATTACCATGGAAAACTCGCCTGCAGTAGTTGCTGTGTATTTAAGCTCATCCCCATGTTCCCAGCTCCCTGCAGTTCTGCTTCCCATGCCATTTACCACTGGGGCAGCCACTGTATTATGGGACCTTCGGGCCATGAAGGAGAGAGAGCAAGTGCTTTTTCCGGAGCTGCCGTGGTGCTCAGAGGGGCTGAGCTATGACCAGGCTTCCCACCCCGTCCCGGTGTGGCGGAAGCGCCGAGCCCGGTCCGTCCCTGGACACGGCACTGCCGAGGTGTGTCGGTGCAGGTGATCCATCCCAGTCCCAGCTTCCTTGTAAGGACTTCCAGCTGCCTTCAGACTTAGAAACCCAGCACTTTTGCCGCTTCATTCCGGTGTCCACAGTCCTGCAGTGTTACCAGACAGCAGGTGCTGCCCCAGGAACAGGATTGTCCCTCAGCTTTCCAACAGTCCTTCAATATTCCTGCATCCCCAGCGTGGCACTCCTGAAGCATTGCTGATGTTCATTGGGGTGTGCTTTTGAATTACTAGATCATGTAGTGGCTCATCAAGTGACATCATTATACTTAATGAATTGTTTAATAAGGTCTGTTGCGAGTCAGTCCACTGTAGAAATATATCAAAATAGAGTTGGAATAACAATATACTATAAATGGGAAATTTTCCTCATTCGAGTCATAACGTTCCAAACGTAGGTCCCGAGGTGGATAATTTTTAAGCATCATGCAATTCAGTGTTGAAACAGTTTTCAAATCTCACTGTCCTTTATTAGAAAAGCAATTTGACTATATTTTCCAATACTGCAAAGATGGATAAATAAAATATTTGAGACATATTTTCAATTTAAAATTTTGTATGAACTGAATTTTCTCCTTTTGTGTACTAAATAATGCTTATGTCCAAAACCTTAAACAAAGGTTTTACATTTGCAGTGCAATATATATTTTGCTTTACTTATGGTTCCACTGGAATAATTATTGGAGATGAAATACTGAAATGTGAATAGGAATTGTGCTGTTTCTCTGACACTGCCGTGTCCCATTTGAGAGGGTTTGCTGTTGGTACAGTTACAGCCTGATGAATTTGACTTCCACTGGCAAATTAAATGATTTGTACCCCAAGAAAGAGAAAATTCCTGCGTGCAAAATCTTTGTGTAACAAATGGGAGATGCAAACAGTAATAATAGAGAGGGGTATTTCTGGATATTATCTCACTGGGATTTAAAAATGGTACTTTGTTAGTCTGCAAGCAGCACTTTTTAAATGAATGGTTGTAGATTTGTAAATATGTAATGTTTAAATTTTATTTACCAAAAACCAGTATGTTGGATGTTTGCTTTGGTTTGTAGTTCCTTTAAAATAAGCAAAGTCAGTGTTCACAATGTTAAGTTTTTTTTCTGTCTCATCCAAAAAAAAGAAGTTTTACAGTGAGTCAATAAAAAGCTTAAAATCTTTCTGGTTATTTTCATTAACATTTCATTAGATGGATTAGAAATGTCTGCAGCTCTTAACTGCATTGTTTGCTCTCGTGAGGTGTTAACAATAACCCTCCCAGGTTTGTTGAGGTCAGTGGCATTTTTTTCATCATATCTGTGTAGAAAACAGTGCAAACAACAGGAATTAGTGCTGGATGCTATAGTCTGTAAATAGCAGGGATTAGTGTCAGGATGAAAACAAACCCCCAGCAGTTCAACTTCTTGTTGCAGTATTTGATTCCTGGCTTTAGTTTTGATCAGTGGTGATGTGCTATTGTAACCCCAGATCCATTTTACATTGTAGTGGTAAGATGTAAATCCAGGTGATATCACGTTTTTGCACTTAACATAAATTTTAGGGCCTGTGTTGCAAGATCAGGTAGAGATTTAAAAGGATCTTAGTGCAGTTTGAGAGAATTCACTGCTGAGATGCAGCATGTGAGGCCACATGGCGACTTTGGGCAGAGCAGTTGTGTAGAGGCCCGGCCATATGGGGCTGGTTCTCTTCCCCCTGAAGTAAAATTCACTGATTTCAGAGAGTTTGAGCAGTCCACTGAGTAATTTAGAGTGTGTTCCTGAAGAATTTCTATAATGGGTAAATGTTTCGTGCTGAAAATCAACTCCATTACCTTGAGGGGATCAGCCATACTGAAAACTGAATGCATCTGTATCACATCAGCCTTTGCCACGAGTGCATAAACATGTGCTATTTGATATTGTATCTGTTCTGATCCTAAAGAAAAATAGCAGAGGCTGACATACCACTTGAGATTTATTTATTTTTTAGTAAGTTAAAGGTATTTTATTCTCAGTAAGTTTGTTACAATTCTTTTTTTTTCAGTAGAACATTTGCTACCTTAAACCCCTTCTGATGCTGCTGTATCCTCACACACATCTTGAAGTGTCCAGCCATCATACAGATACTGGGCAGGATATTATCTTGTCTTCTAACATCACACTGATGATCAGAAACACAAAGTAAAGAGCAAACATGGTGAGCCCCAGCATTTTGTTCATTTTCCATTTACAGACAGCGATGGAGATAATCACAAACAGGAGCATGAGGAAAAGGAGAACAATTGCACAAAACAAACCATTGCTGCTCACTGCCACGGGGCTGAGGCCATTGAAGACAGAAAAAAGGAACCAGGGAACTGGCAAGCTGCAAGTAAAGGAAAAGTAATTGAAATAAATGTTTTAAGGCAGTTCATTTTCTGCATCATAACTAAGCAATTTTTCCAAAGTCTTACAGGGGGGAAAAAATGCATGATTGCATTCAATGTAGCTCAGCATAAATCTAAACTAGATGTTGTTTGTATCAAAATTGCATTTGGATAATGCTTCCACTATCATAGTGCAATCCAAGAGGCTGAAAGGACCTATAAATTAAATGTCTTGGGCTGTAATAAAGAAATGTCCTGATGCTTTATGATGGAAGATACAGGCACTGATCCTGCCCTTGCCTGCACAGGAGCTGGATGTTTCTGAGTGCCCAGATCTTGTTCCTGCCTGTAAATCTTTGATGTTTACCAAAGATTTCTTGAATTTTTGTCTTGAAAAAATGGTAATTTTCTGTTGATTGAGAATTAAGTGAAGATGGTGGGCTGAGCTGTAACACTTTGTCTTTCCTGGCTGGGTTTGGGTGTTGTTTGGTTTGGGCTTGGGTTTTTTGTTTGTTTTTTTTAAAGGAACTGGTTGCCCAGCTGCCCTTCATTTAAAGACAGCTAAAATTAAATTAATGGGTATGTTTGGAATAAAACCAGCTTTGTATTTCAGAAGAAATGCATGTTTGAGCACTGAGCTGGTACTCACCCAACAGTGATATCAAAGATGTTGCTGCCCACAGAGCTGGACACAGCCATGTCACCCAAGCCTTTCCGTGCCACGATGACACTGGTGATGAGGTCAGGGATGGATGTTCCTGCTGCCAGGATGGTCAAACCCATAATTTCCTCTGATATCCCAATTGTTTCCCCAACCTAATCAACACAAATTGGGTAGAGCTGTTAGCACTGGAACAGGGACTACAGTTGCTCTGTGCAGTTTTGGGGTTTGTGCCATACTGGAGTTATAATAATCTGAATCCCCTAAACATGGGAGCATTTTGCTGCTTTGTAGGATTAGAAAGTTAAATTTCACAGGGTCTGATCCTGGATTTGCTCTGCAGTGCAGGGAATCTGATCACAGTGATGCCAGCACTGAGCAAGGTCAAGTCAGCCACAGCACAACTCTGCTGTCCTCAGTCCACCTCTGCTGGATGTTGTCCACTTTTTCCCTCTCCAGATTTAACATCAGCTATACAAGATCTGAGGGCTTTTGGAAATGACAGTCCTTGGATTTATGGCATGATCAGCTATATTGTGCAATATATCACTAAATACAGAATGGGGGGAGTGATTCTACAAGATGGAAGTAGTATTTCCCAGAATACCAGGTGAACATTAGGGCAGAGGGAGTTGAGATCATTTAGCAGCTTCCAGAATCAGACCCTTTATTTTCCTAGAATTTTAATTAGATAATGGATAATTATGTTCTGCACAGAAACATTCATCAATGAAAAGTCAGAATTAAGATAAATCTTGACAGTACTTTTCCTTTCATTGCACTTTCCTTTCACTGATGCACAAACTCCCTTGGAAGCTCTTGGAAAAGAATGAAGCTTTGTCAAATCAAAAAAAAAAGGAAATAGAAAATTCCCTTTTGACTTCTAACAAAACAAAGTTTCTACTGTTGTGATGGGCTGCAGCTGTAATTCATGAGATAAAATGCCAAGTGACACTGTTGCCTCTCTCCATCTACTAGTTCTGAACTGGTGATTTGCAGAGAGAACACAGACCCCTTACCTGGTGAGCCCACCACACCATGAGGTAAGAGAACACAGCAATCCAGAGGATGGATCCAAAAAACGTGATGACAAAGAATTTTTTTGAGTCCTGTTGAAATCAAGTTTGGAAAGAAAAAAAAAAAAAGATGTTTCAGGCAAGTTAATAATCCCCAGTGAAAACTATTCACCTGAAACACTTCCCTGCAGTTGATTTGCTTTAACTTGGACCCTGGTTTCTATTTGTATTTCTGGTTTTCAGCTCGATTAGGTGACCTGTAGTTGCTAGAATTTGTGGTTTATTAAATTAAGTCTCTGTACAACGTTCCACTGCAGCTGGGCCTCCTGTCCCACCCCCTGCAGCAGTAACAAGCACTTCAAGTATGCAAAGGCTCCAGACATGGAAAAATGGAGCTGGGGACTCTTGCCCAGAGGAAATCTATAGCTCAGTTAATGACTCCAGTAGCAGAAAGAAGACAGATTCTTACAGGGTTCCTGACGTCAGGCAGAGTGCTCCAGAGAGGAAAGACAATGGGAAAGAGGAAAAGGTAAATGGCTTGTTTTTTCCTTGTTTCTGGCCATTCCAGAGATAAGGGCTCATCATTTTCATCATCATCATCTGTGCTGTCCTCATCACTGTCTTCCTCACTCTCAGAGCTGCTGTCTTCTGAGCTGTCACTGCTTGATGAGGGCTGTAGATCAGGATAAGAAAATCAAAAAGGCAATATGTTTTCACACCTCCAAGGAGCTGCATTTATTCCCCCTGGCCTCACCTGGGCAGAGCTCAGATTTGTAACAGGGCTAGGGGCACCCACAGGCCCCATCTCACTACTGTGGGCAGGATCCAGGCTCATCCTACCCCAGCACCTGTGTATTGTCAACTAAATTGCATCTGTTAACTAGAACCACCTTTTAGATGAGGTTTTGACACAAACTGTCCTTGAAAATCCTTTCCTCATCAGAACAGCCAAATTACATCACCTGGAAGGAGGGATTTGGGGAGCAAAGCAGAACTGTACACTGGGGAGCACAGGACAGGCACATACTGGGATCTTCCCTTGCCCTGGAGTACCCCCCTGGCCTCAGAGGAGTGGAAAATACTATACAGGATCAGTTGGTGTCATATTTTGGACCTGATCTGTGTTTGTAAGCCAAAATGTTTCAGCCAAATATTAATAAATCACTGCACAGTCTATATATAGCTGCCAGTGACATCAGTTGGATCCTGTCCCAAAAGCTCTGGAGAGGGAAGAAGGGAAGTACATGTGAAGGTCGGCCTGGAGGGAGCACTTCCTGCCTGTGACCCTGATTTCAATACCTGTCCATTCTGTGGTGCATCTGCCTTCTGTGTGGCTTTGCTGGGCTCAGAGTCATGGGCAGGAGTTACCTGGATGGTGCTTGGGGCCTTCTTCTCCTCTTCTGCAAAAAGCAATAAGAAGGAACACTGGGTTTAATTGTCAGGGGCTCACCTTCCCCATGGTCAGCAGGGAGATCTGACCTCCCTCCCAAAACGTGTGGCATTTCAGGTGAAACCCTGTCAGACTGCCTAGGTTTGCTGTGGTTGTGATTAGTAAATCGGGGCAGAATCTGACCCTCCTGGAGTAGAATGAGACCTTGATGTTCCTGTGACTTCCTCTCCAGAACTGCTGTAAGAGACACGTGTAACAACAGGGAAATGCTAATCACCTCATCTACAGCTGATGAGTATTTCCTGGTTGCTTTCTGGATTCCGAAGATCTTACTAAAACCATCCTTAAAAGCCAGAAAGAATGTAAAGCCTTGCTTCTTTTTGGTTTTTTTTTTGTATTTTGTTTGTTTTTTTTTTCCAGTGAAGCATGGGAGCATTCTCCAGGGAGCTGCTTCTTCAAGGCTTCTGAAAAATGACTTGGACGTGCTGCCAGACTTTAATCCCTGATCATTTGGTGGGGATTCAAAAGCAAATGGCAAAGTGCTGACACGTACAAGGAAACAACTACAATGTCCTCTGTGCTGTTCCTGTGTAGCCAAGAGGAACACGGAAACCTTCGTGTGTAATAGTGTGGAAACAAGCACAACACAGAGCACAGGTGAAGTCAATGAGATGTTGGTAACACACACAAGCAATTGTTTTTTAAACAGTGTTTTTCTCAAGTTTAGGCTCACTCAGGTGAGACCCAGTGTTGTGAGATGCTGAGGTCCCTGTGTTGTGTAGAGCTGGGACATTCCACACAAAAGTTTCCTGTTTTTCAAAATCTCCATCTTCCCAGGCAGCACAAACCCATGTTGTAGCACAGCCAGCTCAGACAGGCTCTGTGTCAGCAGTGAGAGAGAAAACCCAAAAAGTACTGAACTGCCAGAGGTCAGGGTCAGATGGGATATTGGGAAGGAATTCTTCCCTGTGAGGGTGGGGAGGCCCTGGCACAGGTTGCCCAGAGAAGCTGTGGCTGCTCCATCCCTGCAAATGTCCAAGGTCAGGTTGGATGAACTTGGAGCAACCTGAGCTAGTGGAAGGTGTCCCTGCCCAGGGCAAGGGTTGGAGCTGGATGGGCTTTAAGGTCCCTTCCAACCCAAATGATTCTGTGAATCTATTCAAGGGAAGAATGCACAGACCCTTAGACTGATATAGAAACAGTCAGTGCAGCTGATTCCCTCTGCAGGAACCTTCCATGCTCTTCTGCAAGTCTGGCAAATTTCCAAGCTAAACTGAAGGTCCTTTGTTTTAACAAACACCTCAGTTTGAAGGGTCTACCAAAGACCAGCAGCACCCAAGTGCTGCCTGACTTCCCTTCTCCACCATTCCATGGCCACTTCCACTACATCCTTGTAGCACTCCCTGCCCCGTCTCTGTCTCACTGAGGGCTCCTTTGGGATGGCTGTTCCTGCCCACACACATCCACTGTTTCCTGCTGCACTGTTACAGCAGCCACCTGTGACAGCAATAACACGGACCTTGTGTCAGACCCCGGTGTCTCTGTGCCAGCCCTGGGGTGTTGTGTGCTGGGAAGGTGAGGGCTGGCACTGCAAAACCAGGCAGACGGCTCTTGCACTCACCTTCTGGCTGTGGGCCTTGTCCATCCAAGGTCTCTGCCTTGGCCTTGGCCATGTTGCTCAGGATGTCAACCCTGTCTTTAAATTTTTCTGTGGATGAGGAGGACATGTCCATCAGCAACTGTCAGCTGTGAAACCCCCTTTACCTCCCCCCTACACACCCATGCTCTTGCCCCTTTCCTCTTCCATGGGCCAGCACTGACCTGTGAGCTGTTGTGCCTGTGCCCCCAGGTTTTGGCTGCTGCTGTTGATCATGGCTGGCATGTTTAAATGTTAGTGCTAGAGCAACTACACCAGCCATTTGAGAGGTAACTAATACTATCATATTTTAAAGAGAACTAGAAGGAAGAGAAATCCTTTCCTGGTCATTAGTGCAGAAGGGTATCTGTACTTCATAGGAAGCAAATGCAGAAAGAACAGAGGAGGAGTTTTAGTGCAATATCATCTTGTTCTCAAGGGACTATTGATTTTTTTCAGGCTAGATTATGTGCAAACTAAAACTGACACCTTCCTCCTGCCATGTGGCTGTGGAAGAGGCCTTAGGGTGCTGCCTGCAGCCTGGGGACCTGATGGTAAGGGAAAATAAAAACCTTTTATGTTCCAGTTCCCTGGAAAATTATTGATTTCTCTAAGTATACACAAGTGTCTGCTCTGCTGTGCTGGCACTGATCTAAATTCCTGGTGTCCAGGCTGTGTGGGAGATGATCTTCACCAGTGCAGGGTCCAGTGCTGTATTTCTGGGATTGCTGGGGGCTTCTTCCACTGTGAACCATGTTCTGCTCTGCTCAACTGAGCTGCTTTATTACTGGCTTACAGTGAACTGTGAAACTGTGTGTGTCTCCATAATTCAGTGTTGTGCTCAAATCTCTTAGTGCTGACTCTCACTGAAACGGGACAAAACACAGGCTCAAAGAAAAGCCCCATTTTCTCTACTCTCTGCCCTCTGTTGAGCTGCCCACCCCACAACTCAGCTGAGGGTTGCAGGGTTTGCACATGGACAGGAGCCACAAGGAACTGGCCACGCTCTGCTTGGCTGGTGTGCAGGGCTGTAAATTCATTTCCTCTGGAAGTTTTATCACACTGATTTAATCCACTGTGCTGTTGAGTACACAACCAGAACGTGTTGTTGTCATCTGCCTCAAGGGCAGGGCCCTGCCACTTTATACATCACTGTGATACTGATATAATAAAAATTGCAGGCCTGAGGCCATGAGCTGTGTGGGCAGATCAGATTCAGAGCTGAACCTCACAAAAATCAGTAAATTCTGGTGTATGTCCAATAACTTTGTCCAGCTCAGACATTAAGACCTCAGGGGACAAGTCCTATTCTGGTGAGATTCCTGTTAGTGTCTGACAAACATTTTTCACCAACTGGAATTTCCACTGAGCCTTGGAATGAGCACTGGACTGAGATGAAATGATGATAGAATCCCAGAATGATTTGGTTTGGAAGGGAACTTAAGATCACCTTGTTCCAACCCTCTGCCATTAACAGGGACATCTTCCACTATCCCAGGTTGCTCCAAGCCCCAGCCAACCTGGCCTTGGACACTTCCAGGGATGGGGCAGCCACAGCTTCTCTGGACAACCTGTGCCAGGGCCTCAACACCCTCACAGGGAGGAATTTCTTCCCTATATCTAATCAAAATGATGATTTTTTTTTCTCCTTTGAAAGGCTGGCTGGGATGTAAGAGCCTGACTCTTCCATGCTCCTTGTCAATCCTGAAGCTCACCAGAGGGGATGGGAAGCATTTTGCTTCCTTCCCCCTGAGCTGATGCACTAGGACATCCCTGGATGCAGGGCAGCACAGAGGTGACCCATTGCTCCCAGTCCCCTCTAAGCACTGGGCAATGCATCTTTCTGTTCAGCTTGTCCCTGAAGCTGCTGCAAAAGCTCCTGTCAGCAAGGTCAGGGCGGTCAGGCTCAGCCTGAGGGAGATTATATACATTGAAGCTCCGGGCTCCCTGCCCTGGCCCAGGCTGGGAGTGGAGCCCTCAGCATCCCTCTGTCAGCACAAACAGATTAGGCCCAGGCCCCTCTCCAGTCCTCAGGAGATCAGCCTCATTTGGGAGGGTGTTAATTCCTCTGACACACAATTCCTGTGTGGACTGAGGCTGGAGGCAGAGCTGGCTCTAAGCTGGGCTGATCTGCAGGTCAGCACGGGCAGGAAGGATGTCCCTGAGCTCAGTCCTTGCTGTGCTGGATTAGCTGTGCAGGGCAGGGGCCCTCAGTCCCCTGGGGCATCCACTGCTGGCAGCTCTGTCCCCAGCTCTGAGAGCCCATCACACAGGACATCTCTGTGTCCAGGGGCCCTGAGATGCTCTCCAGGAAGATTCCTGTCCTATGGATTGACAGCACCCAGGCTGGACTTCAGGTGGCAGCTGAGCTTTTACCCTGAATTTGGCTCTTGGGTTTAATGCACTCTTTGGCTTTCACAACACGATCAGCAGGAAGGATTTTTTCTTTACAATTTAGCATGAACCTGAAGGATTTGGAGATTCTGCTGTCTAAAAGTGGAAATAAAAAACCAAACTCATTATTCCTTTTGCTCCTTTGTATCTTGATTCCTTAACAAGTGATGGAATGCTAAGGAAACAAGGAGAAACTGTAGCTGCCTTCAGCTTCCTCACTTGGCTCTGGCCTGCAACCTTGCCTGCTGCTCTGGGCTGGTCTAATTTCCAAAACCATTAGCTTGTTAACTGGGGCATACTGAGGACAGGCAGCTCTGCTGCTGGAGCCTTTTTCTTCATTCAAAAACAAAAGTTAGCTTCTGCCTTCTTCCCTGCATGACTGGACTTTAAAGGATAATCTGATGGTAAGACTGGAGGTTCAGCAGAGGGTTCCTGAGTATTTCCAAAATCCTTTTTCTTTTCATTCCCCCACAGTTCCCTCTGGTGTCAGTGGGGAAAATCCTGAAAAGATCTCATGCTCTGCTTCTGCACGCTTCCAGAGAAAGTGGGGGAAAGAATAAAGTTGCTAGAAATTCCTCGTTAAAAAGAATAACCTTCTGGAGAGACTGTTGTAGCCCATCCTTGCATCCCTTTGTATCAGACTGAAGTACACGTGCTCACACTCCCATCTAGTGGCTGCTGCACAGACAGTAACTCACACCGTGCCTGGCTGCTGGGGCAGGCTTAGGTTGGATAGCAGGAAAAATTTCTTCATGGAAAGGGTTGTCCAGCCCTGGCACAGGCTGTCAGACCAGTGGTGGATTCCCCATCCCTGGAGGATTTAAAAGGTATGTAGATGGGGCACTTAAGAACAGAGTGGGAGAGTGCTGGGGGAGCAGTTGGACTCTTGGAAGGCTTTTACAACCTAAATGGTTCTGTGGAATGAGCAGGGAAGTTCTCTTTCAGAGAAGATCCAAACTGCCCCCCACCCCCAATCCTGTTTATTCAATATAGTCCTTGGAATAGCAGCCTCTTTAGCAGGGACAGTGGCTTTTACAACTGCATGGAAACCTCCCAGCAGCCTATTCTGGGCTGAACTGGCTGGAACTGTCCTTGGCCTCATCTTGCAACTCCTGCTGAGGTCCCAGGGTTTCCCCAGGGCACTGGCCTGGACCAGAAAGCCAAGTGTGTGCTGACCTGGGGTGGGAGATGCTGCACAGAGACATCTGGAGGTGTGGGAAGGATGAGAAGGTGCTGGGGGGAGTCTCTGAGTGGCAGCAGCCCCTCAGTCTGGCACTTTTTGATGCTCAAGGCAATGGCATGTCCTCTTGGAAGGTTTTGGCATTATCCTGGTTCTGTTGATAACACCTCTTGGGGGAAGAGGAGGCAAGGGCAGTAGGGCAAACTGTGATGAGTTGTTAGGCTGCCTAACAGGTTTGGGTCCCTTCCCCAGACTGTCAAAGCAGACACACTTCTCTGCCTTGCTGTCCTCACCCAACCTCCTCTGTTCCCTTGATCAGTTTGTGCAGCTGGGATTTTGATCTGGATAGTCCTTTTTGTAACCTCTATGAGAGCCAGGAGAGAGGTGTTGATCTGCTTAGCTTCCTTCTCTCTTTGAATGGACAGCAGGTAATCTCTTAAGAACAAGTAGGGCAGTGGAGGGGTGGGGCATGAGCTGAGCTAGGGAAGAAAATCTAAAAAACTCTTTTTTTATGTGTTTCACTATTTCTTGAAAAATGAACCTCCACAGTGGGGTCGAATTAAAGTTTAATACAAAGCAGCATGTTAAAAGTCTGTGTACAAAGACCCTGGCTCTGTCTGGAGATGAGGCTTCTCTGCATCCTGGGCAGTTTAAAAGAGTCTTGGACCTGAACTGATCTTTCTCTGGCCCTGGGGAGCTGCCCATTGCCTGCACTGTGCTGAGAACACACTTTGCCATGGAAGTGATGGTACCACAGCAGTGCAGGGGGGCTTTTAGAGGTGCTCAGTGTCGGTTTAAACCACATAGAATTGGCCTAACCATCGTAATTGGAGCTCATTTTGTGATTTAAATCTCAGCTGGGATATTAATCACTGTCAAAATGATAATTCTTCAAGGGTTTTAACCTCTTTTTGTGCTGCTGTTTCAGGGCTGGGGTGAGGTCTGAGCTAAGAAGAGGAAGGAAGACGCGACTCATGTTTGCTGCCCCTGAAGTCAGAGAGAGCAGAGATGGGGGACAGCAGTGACTGTCACCACTTCCAGGGACCCCAGCAGCAGCTGCCACCACAGCAGTGACCAGCTTGGCACAGGCAAAGCAGATGTGGCAGGACCAAAGCATGAGGTGTTTGTCCTCTCAGCACTGGATCAGAAGAGACAGAGCTCCTGACACCGCCTGTGACACGCAGAGCTGCGTTCCAGGGGTGAGTTGCTGACCCCAAAACACTGACACACACAGCCTGTGTTCCCAGTTAAACCACTCTGCACCCAGGGCAGCAAACCCAAGTCCCTCCAATGTGGAGCATCCACTCACCTTCTGCCAGGGGGTCCAGGGTGTGGATCATGAGCTGGAAGATGGTGCCGCGCATCTGGGAGTTGTGCAGGGAGGCCGAGCTGCTGCCCCGTTGCAGGGCTGGCCCAGGCTGTGGAAAGGCACAATCCCAGTCAATCCCAGTTCCCTCCTCCACTGGCCAGCCATGGGCAGACAAAGGGGCAGCAATTTAACCAGCAGGGGAGGAGTGAGCTGTGCAGTGTTTGCTGTGGGGGAGGACTGACCCTGCCAACCTCTGCTCTGGGAACCCAGGAGGAAAATTAGCCACAAAACCAGGTAAGGAAAATCACTTTCTGAATTTCTGTATGCCTGTTCAAAGCAGAGGATGAATAGCACTCTGCTGGTCAAATCCACTGGGGAAGCCTGAGCTGTCTCCTGGTTTTTATAAAAAGCCCTTTGAGGACAGGACTGAGCCAGGTGTCCCCTTAACAAGGTGTGAGCATTGTGCCTGATATGAGACAGGCTTTGTCCAGGCTTTTTGCCACAGAATTTGACACTTTTATTCATGACCTGACATGGGGAGGGGTTCAAAATGCAATGACTTCAGATCCCTGTGAAGTTGCTTAGACCTACCTGCAGCTTCCTCACATCTGGTGGCTTCTTTGTTCCATCATCTGCAGCTGCCCCAGTGCTTTTCTACAAGCAACAAAGAATGAAAATGACTGATCCCTTCTGCTGCTTCACCTGCTTTTTTAGGATCTAATGATCCCTCAGGCTGCTCTCTGCGAGGAGGTGGGACAGCTGACACCAATGACTTGCATGGATGCTACTGAAAGAGCCTTCCTCAAATTCCAGCAGAGTGAAAGTGCAAAGGGGTATTTTTTTTTCACAGTGATTAGCATTACTTTCCAACATTTATAATTTCTGTAATTTATTTCTCCCAAGGGATAGGTCCAGCAGCTCTGTCATGCTGCTCTGCATTAGTGAGAGTTTTCTGTCAGCTCCAAGTGCAGGGTTGGATTCAATTTGTGGTGATTGATGTCCACAGTGATGGGTGTCACTGCAGGATCTTGGACATGTACCCCACTGGAATGTAGCACAGGAGCTGTCAGGACTCCCAGCTATGGGCACTGGGTGAACATCAGACCAGGGGAAGGAAAGAGAAGCAGTTTCTCGATTCTGCACCACTTCAACCACCCTCACCCCCCTTCCTCCCTTCCCTTAAATGATGTGGAGCGCCAGGACCAGAAGGCAGAGCATGTTAGAGTGCCAGGGACACACAACTGACCAGCAAAGCCTGCAATGCCAGAGGAGAGTCTGAAACCAGGTGGTCTCTGCTCAACAGCTGCAGTAGCACAGGTCAGGAGAACAAAGGGGCTGTGGGAGAGCTGAGGAGGGACAGAGGAGGAAGGAGCGGGCTGGCACACTCAAGATGGCAAAGCTCAAGTGTTCTGGAGACCCTTCCTGCCCAGAGCTGCAAGTCTGAAAGGGTGGTTGGCTCTGGGGACACCTTCAGATACTCTTTTTGTGAGCAGTCAGCTCTTCCTTCAAAAGACACCGAGGGAAGGTCTCAAATCTGGAGTTACAGCCACAAACCTCCTGAGCACAGAATCCCCCTGAGCACACCCAGCTGGGGTCAGGGCATGGAATTAGGTTTGGGCACTTGGATCTGGTTGCCAAATGCTGACCAGGAGAGCAGGTAGTGGTTGCTAAAGCTGCCAGACCCCTTCCTGTGCTGCAGATCAGGTAACAAGTGACACCACCAGTGTCCCACCTGGCTGCAGGGATGGAAAAGAGAATTTCCTCCTACACCTCTCAGCCACAAGGGGCTGGGACAGAAGCCTTTTCCCCGTTTAACACAGAGTTGTCCAATCTTGTTCCCAGACTGTGTTCCTGCAAGTGTTCTTTTTGAAACTCTTTTACAACAACCAAGAAAGCAAAATCCCACACGTGTCTTTGAAAGCAGCTGAGCAACCACAACTGAGACCTTTAGTAATTGCATGGTAGTGATGTTCTCTAATTTCTTAGAATCTCTCTCCAGATTGCATTTCCCTCATTTTATAACCATAATTATTGACCAGTACCTGTGTTCCGAGGTTTGAATATGTGTTTTTTGAAGGAGATGTGGTTTTTCTTTATGGTTTACACTAGAACAAATTATTTCCAACTTGCCCTCTGAACTCCAAGGACACCAACCTTTCTCACATGCTCTGCTGATGCTGCCTGCACAGCACTGAGCTTCTTGTTCAGCTCCTGCTTCACCCATTGCTCCAGGTACACGTTCTGTTTCATGGTGAATACATATGTGGCATAGGCAGTCAGTAAAAGGAGGCTTTCCCACCAATCAATGACACTGTCTAGGAAAAACAGGATGAGCATCAGTAAGTCTACAATGTAGAATGAGATGTCTCTAAATAAGGGCCACCATGTCAGGTGGAGTATCTCCCTGGAGAAGAGGGCACAGGTGCCAATGACGAAGAGGATATTAAACACTGCTGAGCCCACAATGGTACCGATGCCGACATTACTGTGTGAGATGAAGACACCTATGAGGGAAGTGAAGAGTTCTGGTGCTGATCCACCTGCTGCCATGAAGGTGGCTCCAGCCACATCCTCAGAGATCTGCAGCTTCTCTGTGATCACTCCCAAAGCGGGGACAAAATACTCATCACACACTATGGCCAAGGCCACAAACACATACATCATGCCAAAGATGTGAAGGACAACCCACCCTTGCCTGCGTTCTTCCACACTGAACAGGTCCTGGGGATATTCTCCTTTGGACTCATGGGGTGGTTTTTTGTCTGGGTGGCTTTCACTGGCATTTTCTTGCTGTGGGGTTGTATCCACTGGAGTAGTGACGGGCACAGCTGGCTCAGCATCCACATATATACAGTGCCTTATTTTGGGTGCTGTGGCATTGCCTCTCCCAGCAGTCTTGTTGCTGGGGGGGTCCCTGGAGGTCACTTTGACAGGGTCCGTGGGTTGGGGGGCTGTGTGTGATGCTGGAAGGGCAGAGGGGCTGAACTGGAGCTGGTAGAGAGAGAGGACCAACACCGTGGCAAGAAAGAAAAGGATTCGGTTCCTTTGTAGCCGCCTCCTCCGTGGCAAATGCATTTCCTGAAGGTTCAGAATCCAGAGCTGTGTCCAGCAGCTACTGGAGACTTCTCTTGGTCAGCAATTCGAATTTACAGCCACCATTGGAGCTTCCAGCTGATCTTGAGCATCAGGAGTGGAACTGCACAGCACAAGATGCAGAATCCTGCAAAAGAGAATCTGCTGTGAAAAATTAAGTACTGCAACTTACCACCATTTGGGCAGCAACACTTCACTGGCACTCTTGTATTTTTCAGTAAGAAGAAATGGACTTAAATGAGTAAAGGCAGATCTAGATCCAGGGTTTAGTTTATTTTTTTTATATACAACTGTAAGTTGTGCTGATTAATAATCAAAGGTTTGGCTTAATAGAGAGGAGTTGGCTGAGACAGTCCAATCCAAGCTGAATTCTGATTCCACTAAATGCCCACATCCAGGAGATGTTAAGGATTGTGTTTTCATTGGAGTGCAGTTGCTATTCTGTAATATTAACAACTGGGTCAGAGTTCTGCAGGAGGAGAGGATACAGCTTCTGTCAAGGAACCGACTTTTAATTGCTACAGCTGATGCTCTGAAGGCAAGATCGAGCTGGTAAAACCTCCTTCTAAACCAGGTTTTCACCAAAATAAGCTCAGCAGGAGGATGGGAACTGCTTGAGAATTCCCAGCAATGCTGGTCCGTGGCTTTCCAGCCTTTCACTCCCCAGGAAAGCGGCCAAGCAAGGGTGAGTTTTTTCCCTCAGTGTGAGGAAAACGTGGTTCTGTGGTTCTACTAAAACTGGGGGTGCTGAGCAGCCATTTGTTTCTATGACTACATCTTTCCAAGCCTTTCTGTAGAATTCAGAACTGGCAAAGTGGAATTGTAATCATACCTTTTATTAGGGGGTAATTAGCATATCTTGCATAATTATTTGAGCAGCATTTAGAAAGGAAGAGGAATTGTAGATGCCAGAGAGACAGATCCTGCAGCTGTGACAGTCTGGAGACAGGGGCTGGACAGCATCTACCCTTTGGCACATTTGGAGTGTTCTATATTCTAATGTTTTACCTCAGAATATCACTCTCCATGGATTATTTTTCCTCCAGAGTGCAAATGTTACATTATTCTTTAACTGGATGTGAATCATAGTTTTCTAAACCATTCTCAGATAAGCTCTTCATGCAAGTTATCACACACTTACCCTCTTGCATAATACCCAGGGAATTAATCAGCCTAAATTTCTTCCAAGACAGGCACTATTATCTTCATTTAAATAGCTGGGAGGATCACTAAGGCAACACTAATAGAGGGTCATGGGAGTACCTAGATAAATAGATGATATAAGCTTTGCTTTTCATATGTAAAAGGAACATAAACATGCATGTGGCAGAACTGCATAATAGGTATAACAAATTGGACATTATTATAAAATAACTCTCCCTAACAAAGACAGGAGAGTTAAAAGAATGGCCTAGGGAGGACACAGACGTGTGCACATACTTAGGGTCAGTTCTAAGAGCTCTCCAACCTTTCACAATTCCTGACCACCAGCCTCTTTGTTTCTCTAGCCTTGTTAAGTTTAGCAGCTTTCTTACAGTTAACTCCTGGTAAACTCCTTTTCTCAGCTCCTGCCTCAGCCAGGCAAGATCCAAACCAATCAAATAAACCTCCCCAGCCTACCTTCCAAAGACGTGTCCAGGAGGAACAGGAGTTCCAAGGGCTGGGTGTAGTGCTGGAAGCTTCTTTGGTACTTAACAGCCCGGTGGGAGATGCTGTTGCAGAGGGAGGTGGATGAAAATGATCCCATTTTCAGGAGGTCTCCTCTGCCAGCAGAGCCCTAATGCAAGGGAGGGTCAGGTGTGAAGGACACCTTAGTGGGGGACAGCCAATCCCATTTAATACCCACAGGCCCTAAGAGGATTAAGCAGTATTGTATAGATTTGGGTCTATCTCCGAAGCCAATACCTTTGTCTGCTGCCCCAGGTTATTCCCAGTGTGAGGGCAGGTGATTATCTGTGTTACAAACTACAGGATTGGAGCACCAGCCATGGACATGGATCACCCTCACGGCAGCTCCAGGGGGTAAATCACCCTTAAACAAGGCCCTGGAGCTCCATTTTGAGGCATCTCCTACAGCTGACAGGTCAAATGCCATCCAAGCACCTTTGCCACAATGTGTGTCTGCTTTGCAATGCCAGAGGAAGTGTTAAAACTCTTTTTTTCTTTCTGGAAAAATCACTCAGCTCCCACGCCAGGAGCACTGATGCAGAGGGAGGCAGCAGCCCCTCACCGGCACAACAACCTTGGGATGGTGTCCAGGACTCTTCTGTGGCATGGACATGGTGCAGCTCCACAGAGGAAGAAATGACAACAGTCCTGGCCAGAGATTTAATGGTCACAACAGCCTGATCATCAGATTTGTCACAGGGGAATTAGAAAATTGTTGTTTGATTTTGGGCCACTCATGACAAGAGAGACATTGAGGGGCTGGAGCATGTCCAGGGAAGGGAATGGAGCTGGGGAAGGGTCTGGAGCAGCAGGAGGGGCTGAGGGAGCTGGGGGGGCTCAGCCTGAAGAAAAGGAGGCTCAGGGGGGACCTTCTGGCTCTGCAACTCCCTGACAGGAGGGGGGAACCGGGGGGGATCGGGCTCTGCTCCCAGGGAACAAGGGACAGGAGAAGGGGAAATGGCCTCAAGCTGTACCAGGGAAGGTTTAGACTGGATATTAGGGGAAAATCCTTCACTGAAAGGGTTGTCCAGCCCTGGCGCTGCTGCCCAGGGCAGGGGTGGAGTCTCCATCCCTGGAGGGATTTAAAAGCCATGTAGATGTGGCACTTGGAATAGGGGTGGCCTTGGCAGTGCTGGGGGAGCGGTTGGACACGATGATCTTAGAGGTCTTTTCCAACCTGAATGATTCCATGATAATATTAAAGCAAACCGCTGTCTGAACGCACAGCTCCAGGGGCACATCCCCACTTTGCAATGGCGTTTATTCCCTTCCCCCGTCCCTCACTCCCACAGCTGGGAGAAGGAGGCCCACTGCCCAGCCGGGATTGCTTATCCCTAACCCCTTCTCCATGCACAGCGGTCATTTTTACAGCGACACCGCATTCCCACAACTCCGACATCCAACAGAACGCTTCCCGCTTGAGCCCCGGCCCTTCCCGCCCGCGCCGCGCGTTCCGGGGGGACGCTTTCCGTGTCGGACCCATGGCGGCGCGGCGGGCCCAGGGTGAGCAACATCAATTCCCTTCCCCCGCGCGCCTCTCTCCGCTGCCCCCGAACATCCCGGGAATCTCCGGGAGCAGCCCCGCGGAGCGGGAGAGGGTGGTGGGGAGCGCTGGCTGCCTGCTGGGCGGCTTTCGGAGCGCCGGGGCTGCTCCTCTTAGGGCGGCTCAGCTCCCGCCGTGTCCGGGCCTTCCTTTACCCCCGGCGGGATGATCTGTGCGTGACCCACTGAATCTGAGCCAAATCCCACGTTTTGGGCGAGGTGTTTCGGGGGACAAGGGTAATTGTCGCTTCTCCCCGGGGTCAGTGTCAGGGCGAGCTGCCTCCTGCGTGTGACTCCTGGGCTTAAGAGCTGAGTGGTCTCCGTGGGCCTCTCCCAGCTCGGCACCTTCAGTGATCTCTCTGTAACTTTGATAAGGATTTGTGCCTTTTCCTCCCTTGCAGGCGGGTGATCGCGGTTCTCCGTGAGGGCAGCGGGAGGAGCAGCTCGCCATGCCCACGGTGGTGGTGATGGACGTGTCCCTGTCCATGACCCGGCCCGTGGCCGTGGAGGGCTCCGAGGAGTATCAGCGCAAGCACCTGGCGGCCCACGGGCTCACTATGCTCTTCGAGCACATGGCCACCAACTACAAGCTGGAGTTCACGGCCCTCGTGGTGTTCTCATCGCTCTGGGAGCTGATGGTGCCCTTTACGAGGGACTACAACACGCTGCAGGTAGGGAGGGTGCAACACAACAGCGGGAAACCCTCAGCATTTTAAACCAAAATCAGCCAATTTCACCAGCAATCGGGAGAGAAATTGTGTGTTGTGGTGTCATCCTGTGCACGACATCTTGAGTGGAGTGTTTTGTCGTTATTTAAGTGTAGGGGAAATCAGCGGGTTTAAAACATTTTGCTGGTTTTCGGGTGAGCCCAGGAGTGTGGCCAGTTAACTTAAAAGTGGGGATGGAGTTAAACATGGGAAAGAGCTGCCTCAAAGCTCTAAAACTGGTTGTCTGATGTTCCTGTGGTTTTACTCATGATAAATGGCGCAGGATGATGTCCTGGTGACAGGACCATTGAGACAGTCAGGTGATTTGGCAGAGAGAAGGTGCTTTTGGGGGTGTGTAGCAGTTGAAGCGGGGCAGGGATGAGAATAAGTGATTTTAGGCCTCACAGATGTGATGGGAAGTTGGGAGGAGGAAGTGAAAGGGAGGAAATCCAAGAGGGAAGTTTCCCATGACTGCAGTAAGACACTAAAAGCCTCCGAATGCAGTAAAAATTGTACATATATATCTTGTTATCATACATAATATCAGGAGGAAATGACACATTGCTGTCACAGGGCAACCATGGTTTAGGATTGTCCATTGTGGGACAAACAGATTTTCAGAGAAGTTCTCTGTTCTGTTTGCAGATTTAGAGCAGTGTTAGAGTGCCAGGGCATCCTCTCTGACCTGTTTTCACCTCCCTGAGGTGTTCATTTGAGGAATTCTGAAAGCCAAGAACCCAGCCAGGCTCCTTTAGCAGGTTCATCTCACAGCTGCACCCTGTGTTAAGTGTGAGGCTTTCACTTCAAGGAGAAAAGCTGGTTTATGGATGCAGATGGTTTGTTACTCTCTCTGCCAAAGAGTTTTTGTGAGACAAACTCCTCATGAGAGTTCTCTCCTTTCTGAACCTCTGAGAGGCTGTAGCTGCTCTGACACCTGCAAGGATTTTCTCAGCTAAATGTTTCTTGTTAGACTTTGCTTCAGATTTTGACTTTTCTGTTTCTTTGAGACATACAAAGGATTTTTTTTTCTCTTGAGGAGCTCTGTTTATATTATAATTCTTTCAGAGTCAGCTGTCATTGTCTCATGGTTTCATTCATCATTTCTTTACACCTTTCTTTCCCTTTGTGTAACAGTGCAGTTGTGTGACCGTGCAGAGCAGACATCCTGACTCACCAAGAGCCAGGAGTGACTGGTGTGTGTCTCCTGGGAGGAATATTCCCCCCAGGAATGACAGTGGTGTTTGTCTTTGCAGGAAGCCCTGAGTAACATGGATGATTATGACAAAACCTGCCTGGAGTCAGCACTGCTGGGGGTTTGCAACATTGTCCAGCAGGAATGGGGGGCAGCAATTCCATGCCAGGTACACCTGATTTCACTGTTTGTAGCATCCAGTGCATCCTTAGTTTTCCTTGGCAGGGGGATTGGAACTGGATGATCTTTAAGGTCCCTTCCAACCCAAACCATTCCATGATTCTGTGATTCTATCCCTGTGAGTTGCATTAGAAATGTAAATGTAATTTGAAAACTCTGAATGCTCTCAGACATGCCTGTGCTACAGACCCACAAAGAAATTAGTGTTCTGGATAGATCTGGAATGGGAACAGAGGTGATGTTTATTTAAATATTCAGCAGTAAAAACTAGGCTGTTTCCTGTCCAGTGTGTTATTGTTGTGCAGCGGGTTATAAAATGTGGCCCAGGAGCACCATTGTGCAGGTTTGGCATTTGGTCTGGGTGCACTCTGCTGGCCCAGGAGCCTCACTCGGGGTGGAAAGGGTGCAGTCACACATTCAAGAACCTTCCTTCCCCAATACCTGATGGTTTCCAGGGTTTGGAGCAGTTCCAGGTCTCAACCACCAGTGTGGGACTGTGCTGAGTGTATTTTGATCTGACTTCTTTCCCAAATGAGTCATTTGACTTGCAGCTGCTCACACACTCCAGCCAGCCCTCAGAGCTCTCAGCCTTCCAGATTTGCTGCCTCTTATGGCAAAGTTTGCTTTTAACCCTCAGTTTTCTGAGACACTTGATGTAAGTTCAGTAATTTAGCAGCTCAGTGAGCTGGGAAGATGCCTCAAGCAACATTCCTTAAGGAGAAAAAGGATAGAGGTTTATGGGTTGGGTAGTGCTTCACAATCCAACCCTGATAAAAGGCCCCTGGGAACAGCAGACATTCAGAGCAAAGAACTAGAAAGGTGTAAAAACCAAACAGAGATTAAACCTCAACAATTTGGTCTCTCATTTGTGTCAGGGCTCATTTTCCTGGCACTTCAGGTGGTGGGGGGGTGATGAAAGGCAGTGGGGAATGTGCTGTCAGGGGTCTTGGACTGGAGGAAAACGTCACTGGTGAGCAACAGTTCAGATGGGAGCTGAGGAGACTGGAGAGAGAGAGAGAGACTGAGGATGGGGAGAGGATACAAATCTGGATGTAGCAAATACACATTGAGTTTGGATAGAATTTGATTTTCCTCCCCTCCCAGCCAAAAATCATGCCTGCTGTTGCTGTGCACTGCTGAAGGAGCAGCTCTTTCACTGCTCAGTGTCTCAGCTGAGTGTAAATGATCCCATTATTCAGTGTAACCTCTTAGTGCAGGTTCCCACAAGGATTGACTGTGATGTGCAGCTCAATAGAAAAATGTGTATTTTTGCTCTAATAGTTCTGAGCAAACTGCAGCTATGTTTGCAAAGAGCAAAGATAATTAATACTACTTTTTTTATGGTTTCTGTGGCTTGGAGTGGAAGTCGAGTTGCCCTCCAGATTCTGCAGAACTGGGCTTTATCTTCCACCTGGAAATAAGCCTGGAATCCTTGAGTCCATCAGCATCAGGCTGCTTTTTTTGGCACTATAGTCACTGTGCTTCTGATGTACACTTAGAAATGAAATTTATGGAATTTAAATTCTGGTGCAGTTGCCTAATGACGAGGAAATGCATATTTGCCATGCACAGTTTGAATCAGGATGGTTCAATCTTCTGTTTTCTGGGAATTTTACTCGCGGTCCTTCCCTCAGCCCGGCGGAGGGAATCCCGGTGGGAGCGGGGTTTTTCCGAGCTGCGGGAAGGCTGCTGCGATGTTTTGGTGTTCGTTGCGCCCTGCAGACGGGAATTCTCCCCCGTGCTGTCCCCCCAGGTTGTCCTTGTCACCGACGGCTGCCTGGGCATCGGCCGCGGCTCCCTGCGCCACTCCCTGGCCACGCACAACCAGCGCAGCGACAGCAACCGCTTCCCGCTGCCCTTCCCCTTCCCGTCCAAGCTCTACGTCATGTGCATGGCCAACCTGGAAGAGGTGATGTCCTTAACACCTTCCTTCTGCTCGGTTGTGTGGGATAACTGTTGGTTTTTTCTGAATTAACAGCCAGGGTGGCACAAAACGTCCTTCGATGTTCTCGTGCTTGAAGTGTGCTTGACATTCCAGTGTTAGTTATTGGCTGAAGTGTGGCTGCTAAGAAGTTTATTATTGCACTGTTATTATCTACTACTGCTGCATTGTTATAGTAATCTTTATAAATCATGCCAGTTTCCCCCTGGGGAATATTAGGCAATTTTAATTTATCTGCTTATGTTGTTACCATTACTGCATTAATTACACTGAATGCTTCTGTGGGGTTTTCTTAACCTACAGTTAAATTCTTGACTAAATGAATTCTGTTGTAAAGATGCCCAACTCTTAAAATATAATAGCTTTATGTGGAAATGTGAGAGAGCAAAAGTGAAGTCTCCAAGCCACTGTTCAAACCAGCTTCCCTTAGTTTTGAAGGAAAAGTGTTGGTTTTCTTTCCCTTACTTTTCTCTTGCAAATCTGAATACCAGCTTTAAAAATCTCCACAGGAGTTAGAATTCTGCTGAATAAACAATGTTTAAAAAGAAGCCTCTTTGACTAAGGTTCCTTAGAAAAGGTTTTATTAATAGCATTGCTTTTGACCTGACACCAATATTCTTGTGTCCATCACAGAAGGATTTTCTGCTTAGGCATCAAATAGATATCTCAACCTCAAGGTCTCTTGTCAAGGATGATCCTTCTGATTAAATTGATGGATTTAAGTGTTGTTTACACATCAGGATAACTGGGAAAATGTTTAAAATAAATTTTCTATTTCTGATAAGTAATAAGAGAACATTACCTGGGAGACCAAGAATGTTCCTTTATTTTGAAAGGAGTGAGATAACAAAAAATCAGGAGAGCATCCAATCAGATGCTTTTTGCTGTGGTGTGTATATTTTCTTAAAACATACTGGTTAATAAAAAAGAGAGGAAGAAGAACACTCAACAAAAATATTTCCCTTTGTTTTTTTACAGCTTCAAAGCACAGATTCCTTGGACTGCCTGGAAAGGCTCATTGATTTAAACAATGGGGAAGGGCAGATTTTCACCATTGATGGCCCCCTGTGCCTGAAGAATGTGCAGTCAATGTTTGGGTTAGTAGATAATAGGCCTTTGGGAAGGTTTCCAGTTAGTATCTCTAGAGGAAAACAAATACAATAAGAAATCTGGTGATATGAGATGTTCTAATTAAAATTCTTTTTCCTTTTATTTTATGATCTTGTTACCTGTATTTTCATCTTGACCTTCACTGGTTAAGGTCAATATTTATTTTAATTCTTGTGTAACCAAACCATAGCAGTTGTTTAAGCTTGGCAGACAGAACTCAGTAATTTCCACAGCTATTGTTCATTTGCCATCAGTGTGATAATGTGCTGCTCTGTTCCATAATTTAGCAACACTAGAACTCTTAAATTAACTGTAGCTTAAAAAAAGGTTTGGGACCTAAGTTAGTGTGCTTTAGACAAATAATTTCCATTTGGTATGTTTTATGTTTTCCTTAATAAGTGTTTGTGTTCTAGAAAGCTGATAGACCTGGCTTATACACCATTCCATGCTGTTCTCAAGTGTGGCCACTTAGCATCTGATGTGCAAGTATTTCCCAGACCTGAGCCTTTCATTATAGATGAGGAGATAGACCCCATTCCTAAAGCAATTAATACAGGTAACAAACCTTTGATTGCTTTTTGACTTAAACCCATTTGATTTCTGCCTTTTCACTGCCAGCTGTGTAGTTACTGTTTCATCCACATTTTCTCTGCAGTTATCACTCACTGACTGTGTAATGTTTGGGGATGTGGGGACAAGAACATCATCCTCTTTCATCCATGAGTGCCTGGTGAAAGGGCTGGAGTGGGGCAGAGGCACTTGCAGAGCTCAGGGTGCCAGTTTTTAGAGGCAGAGACTGGAATACAGCCACAGGCTGCTTTCCATGAACACCCTCATAAGCTTCATGGGAGACAGGAGAGATGTGTGGAAGAAGGGGCTGCATTTTGTATTAGAGTTGCCTTTACCAGAAAGAATCTGCAGGATCAGGTGAGACAAAGCAGCATCTTTCTGGAGGTTTCATTGAGGAATCCATTAGAAGTGGAGTCAGGAGGAAGTGGTGAGGCAGCACAAGTTGAGATTTATGAGATTTAGGTTCTCTGTCATCCTGGCACTTCTTACCAATAGTAAATTATTTTAAAAAACAACTGTGCCAAGAAAAGCCTTTCTCAGCCCTCCCACAAGTGGACACTGCTCCCATGAGCAGCAGGTATTTCTTTCCTCTCCTTTGGCATTTCTAAAACAGGAGTGGGTTGTTACAGTGTAAAAGTCAATGTCCACAATCCTGTATTTGTCAAGCAGCACAGCTCGTAGGCAGCTGTGTGTGATGGAAGTTATGTTTTTATCTTAAAAAGTCATGGTATTGTGAATGGTTATTAACATTCAGAGACCCCAGCTGAGGTCTGGGTTCTCTGTGCTGCCTCATTGCTTCAGAAAACACTGATGTAAGAAGTGGTGTTAAATTGACTCCATCCATTGCAGCTGTTTCCAAATCTGACTTAAACCTGTTGTCTCCCCCCAGATCTAGAAATTGTTGGGTTTGTAGACATAGCTGACATTTCCAGCCCTCCTGTCTTGTCCAGACACTTGGTACTGCCCATTGCACTTAACAGAGGTGAGCAGGTTTGGTTTTTTTCAGCAAAAAAACTACCTCAGGCTTCCCTTGTAATGTCTGTGGTGGTTTAGACTAAAAGCACAGATTTTGTGCTTTATCAAAATGCCAGATGTCAAGTTTGTGTGCTTACATTAAAATTAAAACCTTGAACACAAGGTTTCTTATTTTGAATACTGTGTTCTTTGGGAAGTTCATAGAGGGACCAGGGTCCTTAAAGCATCATTGTTTGTAGAACATGCTAAACTTAAAGCTAAAAATAATAATGAGCCATGACATATGTGGTGCAAGATGAATATTTAACGCCTGTGAGTACAATGCAGTGGAATATTTATGTATCATTATTGTACTACTTTGCCCAAACAGTTCATTTAGCAGCTGTTTGTTCTACAAAAGTATTAATTAACTCTTGCATGCAGACAGTAAAGGGTGGTGTCATGGGAAGAGAACTGGTGTGTTTGAATTTATTCTTATGTTTTCTCTTTGTTTGTCTTTATTCTTCCCCAGAAGGGGATGAGGTGGGACCTGGGATCACAGATGACACCGAAGATGAGAATTCAGCAAATCAGATTGCTGGGAAAATCCCCAACTTCTGTGTTTTATTACATGGCAGCCTCAAAGTGGAAGGCATGGTGGCTGTCGTCCAGTTGGGGTATGGAGCTGGATGTCTGCCTGAAAAATCTCTTCCTTTGCTCATTTGTGCTTTATTTATAAATTATGTTATTTATATCTGTGTTCTGTGCAGAACTCTGCACTGCCAGACAAAGCTGTGGATTTCTAATCACAGAGGTGTTTCTGCCAGTACAAATTGCAAAACATTGAGCCCCCACACAGTGAGAGGGAGGCAAACTCTAGGCACAGGGGTGGAAGATTTTCAGCCTTTGGGGCTTTGCTCTTTTCCATAGGCCAGAGTGGTATGGAATGCTTTATTCACAAGCTGATAGCAAGAAGAAATCAAACCTCATGATGTCACTCTTTGAGCCTGGTCCTGAGCCCCTGCCATGGCTGGGGAAGATGGCACAGCTTGGCCCCATTTCAGGTACTGCTCGCACTCCTTTGAGTAACTCTGACACAGTCAGTGTGCTGTGCATGATTTTGCCAAATCTTAGTAGCTAAGCCTGTTTGTTTTCTTTTTTTTTTCCTCCCAGATGCAAAAGAAAATCCTTATGGGGAGGATGACAACAAGAGCCCTTTCCCCTTGCAGCCCAAGAACAAGCGCAGCTACGCCCAGAATGTCACAGTCTGGATTAAACCAAGTGGCCTCCAGGTAAAATGTTGAGGGTTTGGTGCTTCACTTTGAGCAGCAGTGACCATCTTAGCAGGAAAGTGGGGTCTGTGTGTGTCCTGTCTGTTTAAGGTAATTGCTTTATTGCTTTTCTTTCGTTTTTATGAACACTGCCTCTTCACAGTGTCCTGATTAAAATGCGATCAGAAAGCATAGCTTGTTTCATGAAAGCTCTGTCTCCAGTGTAGCATCTGGCTTGGTTTATTGGATTTAGTATAATTACCATTAGCTCCAATGTGTCAATGGCCAGGATAATTTATCAATAAAGAGTTGAGGTTTTTTTCCTGCAGCTTTCCCCAGCAGTTGCCAAGATTTCTGTACTTTTTTTTCCCCTCTTTTCTGCAGACAGATGTACAGAAGATCTTGAGAAATGCAAGGAAACTCCCTGAAAAAACTCAGACCTTCTATAAAGTGAGTAACATTGCAGGCTGGCCCAGGTTTGACCCATGCATTTAACAGAAGAAACACAGTGTCTGTGACTGTGGGATGTTCTGTGCAGGCTTCTAGGGCTGTAAGAACACAGATGCTCTGCAAAGGAGACATCCTGAGTCATTTTATAGGGTCTGGTTTCCGTGCCACCATGTTCTCTGTCAGGGTGGCACAGACATGTCATGTTTACAGGTGTCCCTCGTGCCCCCTGCTCCTTCCACGGTGAACTTCTTTACAGATTTCATGCTCTTGTCCAGGCGGAAATAAGCTGGAGGATCAGACAGAAATAGGAACACAGGTGTCATTCTGAGTCTGAAAATGTCTCTTATATTTTGTCTACAACTGAAGCAGAGAAAGACAAAATTCCAGGCACATTTGGCCACATCACAGTAATCCATAACTGGACGGTAGCTGGAAGTTATTGTCCCTCTTGCAAGCTTAGTGCTGAAGCAGTTTAGTATTGTAGCCCTCAGAGACTTGAGGAATGAATACCCTTCAAAGTGCACATAAGCACTGTCAGTTTACAGTGAAGAAAAATCAATATATCCACATTTTATGTGGACACTGGTTCAAGGCAGCAGTTGGTCAGTCAGTGAAGCCTCAGCTGGAGCCTTGCTGGGACAAAGTAACTGAATGCACAGAGGAGGGGGGATTTTTAGGAAAGGATCAAGGGAAATCCAACTGTTTAGTCGTGCCACTGTGATCATCCTCAGCCCTTCTTTTTGAAGCATTTCTTACCTCGTGAGCAGCTGGGCAGTTTCCAGCAGCCGAGCTGTGAGTAACCATCACCTTTAAAGAAAAAGAAGGAAAACCCCGTTTCGCATAAAGGCTCGGAGCGGCGTTAAAAGGGACTCTCTGTGCTTGCAGGAGCTGAACCGTTTGCGGAAGGCAGCGCTGGCCTTCGGATTCCTGGAGCTGCTGAAGGGCGTGGCGGACATGCTGGAGAGGGAGTGCACCCTCCTCCCCGACACCGCCCACCCCGACGCCGCCTTCCAGCTCACCCACGCGGCACAGCAGCTCAAGGTGGCGAGCACCGGAGCCTCGGAATACGCCGCCTACGACCACAACATTGCCCCTCTACAGACAGACTTTTCCAGCAGCAGCACTGAGAGGATGTGAAGCCTCCATTTCGGGAGCTTCTCCAGGCTCGAGTGGTTCTGATTGTCTTGTCCTGTTTACTTTCTAGGGCTGTTTAATTACTGTTTGGAGAACTTCCTATCCAAAGGGGGATTTTGCATCAGCGCTCTTTAAACAAACGTAGCGAGTTCGTGGTGGCTTTAGTCGGACCTGGAAACTGGGGAAAGTGTCCCAAGGCCAGTTATGGTGTTGGATGATGGAAGTTATTCAGTAAAAAAATGCCGTTTGGGGCAGCTGGTGGCTTTTGGCCTCTCCAAAATGCAGTTACTACGTAACTGAACTCGCTGGTAAGAGTATCCTAAAAGGCAGCTACTCCACTTTATAATAAACTTCATCAGTCCAAAGAAAATGTGTGGGAAGCAAGATCAGAGTCAGAGCTGATTTCGGGGTGTTGGCCCTGGTTTTTATACCCAGCCTGACAGCCAGCCTGTACTGCCAGAGCGAGTGTTATCACTGGCACTGCAGTGCTTATGCCTGTGAAAGTAACTTAATCTTGGGGGACAGGTTTTTTTATTTGCATAATATTAATAAAGAGCAATTCTTCAGGAAAATTTAAGTTGGATTTTTTTCCGTTTTCAGAGCGACCAGGCTGTGTGGCCTAAAACAGTGACCTGGTGAAGGCTCAGCTTGCAGCTCTTTATCACATGTCAAATACCAAATTATACAACTCCTCATGTGCAGGGAAAGAACAACTGAAGGAAAGCAAAATTTGGTTGTAAATCTTTATTAATAGAAACACATTCTTGCTGAAGGACTAAAGTTCAGTAGTGTAAGATCCATGACAGCCTGCACTAGGTACCACAGTTTCACTGATGGATACATAAGGATTTCATAACAGAAGTTTAAATGCCCAGAGGAGAAAATGGAAGTATGAAAGTGATCCTCGCTGTTCTGTTGCTCAGCTAGTTCAATCCTTTGACATACTTCAAACATAGGTACAATGTGTGCTAAGTGAAAGATTGTGTAAGTAGTGCTCAGCTCTCCTGAGTAAAGTCAGCTGTGCTCTCCTATGAGTGGGAGTCTGGAGTATCCTCAAAGAGAACTTGGATTACACCTCTTTTGAGAGAACACAATTTGTGAAGTGCAGCGTGGAGCTTGAACAGGTACTTTGTTAAAGTCTCCTTATAACAGTTTCCTTTCCTTTACAGTAACAATCACTGGGTCCATATCACAAACATTACGCTGTTCGTTACTTTTTGTATAGAAAATAATTTTTCTGGAGGATTCCTGTGGTTTTACAGTAGAAAAAGACAACCAGTAACATGGCACTAAGCTAATGTGGACTGCTGGCATTGCTTTGCAGTGCCTTGGGGCAGTGGCAGTTGGGAAACAACCTGTTCATAACCACAGTACAGTTTAGAGTAAACTCTGTACACCTCTGAACTGGATTAAGGAGGCCAGAGGGATCTGGGATCAGCTACGGGAGGCTCAGGGTGAGGGGCATCCTGAAATAAAGTCAACTGAAACAAAGGCTTCCAGGTGAGACAGTGATGAACTGCAGTGTGGGGGGAGCTTCTCTTTTGTTGTGTTCTTGCTGTTGTTTAACAAGCACAGAAAAAAGGGTCCTTCGGACCCCGTGTGGGATCTCCCTTACTGAGGTTTGATCTGTATCTCAATAATGCAGTTTATTTGACCCACTGCTCCATCCCACCAGGGGCCAGTCAAACCAGACACACCAACCTCTCTGCTGCAGCCCTAAATGGAATTAGAAAAACAATTTTGCTGCCTTGCTCAAGGCCATAAATACAGGAGCCACAGCACTGCCAGGATCCACCAGTGGAGCCCCATCTCCCACGACAGTTCCACGTTCTCCCTTTGGGTGGGATGGAGTTCTTTGGGGTTCCCATGCCAGGAGAAAGCTGGTACCTATGTTTCCTTATTTTGCTCTGTTTCAGTGCTTGCTTTGCCAACCAGGAAAGCATTTCTGCCTCAGAGGGGCAGCTTCCTTTTCCTCAGGACTGGATAGGATGTGTAGCTACAGGAATACAGGTCCACACAGCACTCTATTCTGTTAAGGCTGAACTAGAAACAGGCTAAGTGATAGCACTGAAATCAGCATTAGCTACTTCCAGTTTTAATCCTGCAGAAGAAAAGGGGGGGGGGGGTATGTGTGCTGAGCAAGTTTACCCCAGTGGTTGATAAACACCCAGACACTGTTCACAGTGGTCTCAGACTGTGCTCCTCCTGCCATCAAGATGCATCCCAGGAACAGCACAGGCCAGCTGAGGGCATATCCCAGCCTCAGAAGCCCTATCTGCATGCAATATTGAAAGAGCAAATCTCCAATTAAAAGATAAACACTATTTCTATTTAGTGCTGCTCCACTGATTATAAGCATTTCATATGCAGATAATAGGATTTCTTTCTAATATGCTGGTTGACAGGATACAAGTTTGTTTAACTGTTCAATGGTAAATGCCATGCACAGGTGATGGAAAGGGAACAAAATCCAGGATATGGAAATGTTACCTGAATTCACTATGAAATCATGAAATCTAGCGAGGTCATTTCATTTTTACAAAATTCTTTACATGACAGAGGGTAAAACCATAAGAATTGAAGGCTTATCTTGTCATCAAGTGAGACAAAAAAGCATTGCAGTCCTCCCTCACTTCATCTTCCTCTTCTTTGGTCCAAGGTGCTGTTTCCTTTGCTTGTAGAGGTGACGGAAGTTTACAAATATCCCTGGAAAAGAACCGAGCGTTTAGGTAGGACATCATTTTAATGCTACCAGATTAAAAAAAAACAATAACAGAAACCAACCAACCAAACCACCACAGAAAGAAATAAATTATTTAAGGGTGTGTGTAGCACTGAAAGCTAATGCAAGTGTTGTTTTGCTGGGTGAGGCAGGAGTTGCTGCACAGGCTGTTTGGTTTGGCTGCTCAGAAGGTTGGTTTGTCACCTTGTGACACCCACTGTGCAGAGCTGTGGAGGATGAAACAGGTATTTCGGAGTGAAACTCGATTAAAGGGTGGCTTTAAGCAATGTCTTAAGGGGAGAAATCCAGTGAAAACTGAGTTTAAAATTCCAGGTTAGACTCTACTGAGCTGTGGATACCCAGAGTGCTGGGTGTGCCTACAACAAAGTTAAATTGTGTTTAAAAGTGTAACACCAGAAACCAAGTATGTAACAAACACCTTTCTTCTTTAAGGGCACTATTTAAAGAACCTTTTGTATTGTTTCCTGGAAAAACATGACTTCATGTTACAGTTGTTACTACACTGCAATGTTTAACTGAATTGCTTTAATTTGAAATTATGTTTAGATTTCCACTAAATCATTGCAAAGCTCAAATACCACGTGAAAGGTGAAACTAAGTACTCTAAGGTTATAAATACATGTAAAAATTATTCTTTTAACCCAAGTTAATGCTGATAATTTGTTGCCAAGTCTCCTTCATGAAGGGCTAATCAGTTCCCCTTCATCACTGACAAATTTACATGAACAAGCCACAAGGATAATGCTTAACCTCAAGCAGTTTTGTGTTGCCATGGTCCCCAAGATGCAGGAATTTAATTTTCTTTGAAAAATCTACTTATTCAGGGGGAACTGGCCTTTATATTTCCATAGTGAGAAACACAACTAAATACTTACCTAAAAACAGGGCTATAAGATATATTTGAAGCACAAATGGGAACTGGATTGTGACATTCAGTGGGTTTGGCAATCCCAGACTAAATTTCCCTGTTTCACTGAAGATTGGGATGGATTGGACGATGCAGACAGCTGAAAGCAAAGGTCACCATCATCATCAAACACAGATAAAATGTACAGTTACCCAGCCCACACCACCTATTTCAGGCTATTCCCTTCTTATTTGCTCTCTTTCATTAATTGCAGCAGTTTTGAAGCTGTTCAACATGCAGTGTGGTGGGAAGCAGCTGAGGCAGTGCAGCAGTGAACCTGCCTGGTGAGACACTGCTCCCACATCCAGCTGCAGCCCCAGGGCCTGTGCCAGCAGCATTTACCATCCACAAATACCCACAGCAACCAAACAGGCACAGTCCCTCCCCTGCTTGGTGTTGGGCAATGCCCAAACCTCCTCCTGCCTCCCAGACACGGGTCCTGACAGGTACAATTACAACACAACCATCAGCCCCTGCCTGTCCTCTGCAATGCCAAGGTAATGTGAAGATCTGTGAGCTTGAACAGAGGCACAGGCAATGATTCAGTATGAAAGACAAAACACTTCCTCAAAGCAAATCTATGTATCTGTTGTTCTATTTTATTATTTTTAAGTCCAGCAGCCAGGAAAAAAAAAAAGTTATTTGCCCCACCTTGAATTCCTTATTTGTTAAATGTCTTTTCTGGACATACCTTCTGACAAGCCCCCTAAGGGGTAGAGAGGGATCCAGACAGTGTAACGGAGCCAGGTCAGTGGTTTCCATTCAATTCCAATGCAGGAAAGCATGTAATAGGGATACCTACAGCCAGGGGGGGACAGACAGACATGGTTTAGAATGAGGAACAGACACTGTTTAAAATGGAAGCTGCTACTAGATTTAGTCTTGTGTATATACACTGTGTAGTGAATACCATTCCCAAATGGCACAAGAATATTCAAAGCATTGCTCCTATGGATGACATGGACACAGTTATTTGGAAGCTTACAGAACTCATATTATTATTATTATTCTGAACACATGGATGAAGGCAACTGCCTGTCTGCCTAATAAACCTTTCAAAGTACTTCTTTTCCAAGAGAAACATCTCATTTAACAACAAAAATTCAAAGCAACAGAACCCTCAAGATAAAAAGCAACAGGGCAGTATTACTTTAGTCTCCAGCCTTATCCCAGCTTTTGGCAGATGGAACAACCCAGGAAGGCTGTGACAGTCCATACTCAAGGAGCTTTTTTTTACCCTCTGGGGCCAAGGCATTAATGCCACCCTTCCAGAAAGTACAAAGATGAAAATCTTCTTTACAGAGTCCTTGGCAACAACCACATTGTTCTGTGCACACCTGCCGGGAGACAAATCCCACCGACCTGAACAGCTCAGTGATGCTCCAGAAGTAAAATATGAAGAACACCACAGGTTTGCTCTGCATTTCCTCCAGGCTTCCAAGGATAACAAACAAAACAAAATTCCTTCCAAATATCTGTTTCAGAAAAACAAATTAAGGAACAGTCACACTCTATCAAGAGAAAGGGCAAGTCCTTGCTGTCAGAACCACCCAAGATGTCTACTCTTCACACATCTGAGCACACAACTGACTCTGCAGCTGAGCTGTGACCTGCTTCTCATGAGTGGGCATCTTGCTCTGCATTTGGGCACAATCCAAGGGACCCAGCCTTAAATCATCCACCCTCGTTTTTATGCACAACCACCACAGCCAGGATAAAAAGGGCACTGGCACCAAACCAAAATCACGTATTTTTTTATCAGCTTCTTGCCTTTGCTGTCCTGCACTCTCTTAGCTGGGTGATGGAAGGAGACAGCCTGCCACAGCCAAGACTGGGAAGCATGGATTCCTGCCTCTGGAATAATAAATCCTCTAGCCCAGTGCCAGTGAAGTATCACTTATTTTAGTAAAGTCTCAAACTTGTGTAAAATAAGCATTTACTTTAAACATAAGAGCAAGGAGAAGAATTTTAAAACATCACCTGCACAACAGAAGGTATCAGAGGGGATCTGACCAGTCCTATTAGTGAATTCATGATCTCCATTAATGCCAGGGTCTGACAGAAATACATCATATCAGAAATAGTGTGGAATGTGTCATAGAAGGAATCTGCAAGACACAGGAAGCCAACCATTTTAGAGAACAAATGAATTTCCATGCCCGGGAAGCTGGGGCAGCAGCACAGCTTGTGATAACAGGATTCTGGCTGCATTTGGAAACAAACATGATGCATAATTATGTAACTTCTTTATAGGCCTTATCTTGAACTCACAGCAGTTGGGCCAGAAACTCTGCTCAAGTGCTCCATTTCACACACAGAAGGATCATGAGCTATTTCAGTAATGACTCTACCAAAAAAGCAAGAGTGCTGTACCTCAACAGAATGGATTGTTCTTGCTTCAAAACCAAAATATTCTGCCCAGATCGTTTTCAGAAACACCAGCATTGCAGTGAGAGAGACATTTTGCTCCAGCTGATTGCTTTAGGAGTGATCCTGGCAGAGCACAAATATCATCATCAAAGTACACAGCTCTAATTTACAAGAGGACACTGTTTTCTTACCCTTGACACTGTGATGGCCTTTGAGAGGCTTTTCTTGTGCTCTTTGGCAACGTGTTCATGGTTTTGTTCCTAAATATGTCTCTCTTAAAATTTTGCTATTTAGAAAGTCTTAAAAACAACACTAAAAACCAACTCAAACCCCCCAGTGTAAACAAAACAGTGCTTATTACTTGCCTTTTCCTAAGATGAACAGTCGTACTGTCATGTTCACAAAAATCCAAGAGAATCCCAGAAACTGCACAAGATTATACATGATCAAATATCCCTTCTTTAGGTGTTTGAA